CAATTAACATGAAATAACATTGTTAATTAATTTAATTATACCAAGGGCAAAAAGCAATTTCTTTATATTGTTAATTGGTGTTTTTCTTAAACAGTATAAATGTCTAATAATTTTTTACTGATCTTAAAGACTTTATAGGTTACACAGACTGAAAGTAAGCTGTTTGGATTTTATGAAATTAAAAACCTTTTCTTAGTGAAACAATATTAAAAATTTCTAATGTTTATATTATATAACAATTATATTTTTATTAATATTACTATGCATCTAGAATTATAACAAACGAAATTGCATTACTGAATCTGTACCTTGCATTATTTTTCTTATGTTTCTTTCTTTCTCCTTTCTCTATTGAACCATTGTGAGAACGTTTATTTGACTGTTGATTTTCATGATTATTTCTGTTTCCAGATCCTAACTCAGTTGTTATGAAATTTTCATACATACTACTGAAAGTCGGTGTCGGACTGGACGTGGTGGTGGTTGTCGAAGGAGTCGACGAAGATGAAGATACTTGAGTGGCTGGAGACTGTGATGCTTTTCCTTGATTATCAACATTTGAAGAAATGGACTTCTTCTTCTTGTGCTTATCAGATCCAAACACAGGACTACCATTATGAGTAATAACAGTTTCTGTAAAATTTGCTGTAGTAAATTTACTACCAATGCTACTAGTGCTACTAACAGCAGCTGTAGTGTCTGATTTAATTGTGGTATCATTACTTAATTGACCATTTACTTCTAGATTACAGCTACTGGCATTGCTATTATCACTTTGTGATATAGATATCACTTCACCTATAGCAGAAGATCCCTCTGCATTCTCATTGTTACATGAAACTTCGGAAGGGGGAGGAGGAGGAGGTGGCGGCGGAGCAGCAGCAGCAGACGGCATGACAGTTGGTGACATCATGTGAGATTTTGATTTTCTTTCGCCTCTTCCACGACCTTTGTCTTTTGCTTCGGGACGTGGCGGAGAGTGTTTTTCAGGACTCGGTTCTGGTGTGGCATTATCAGCAGGAATGGGCTTGAAAGCGGGAATTGTTTTAATGTTGCTGTCTTTTTTCTACAACAAAATATCATCTTAATGTAATGACAGATTTTAATTTATAAATAATAGAAAATACAATAATATACTAACAACAATCAAGAAAATATAATATAAATTTATAATATTTCTGGTCATAAAATATTGCATAAAAATCTAGAAAAATAATTTTATAATGAACAAATCAAACATCTGCTTTAATGGAACTTCTATTAAAATAAAAATGCACCTTTTCAGGTTTATGAATTCATCTTCAGTGTAGGAGAAATATTAAATAGTGAATAGGTGCAAGAATTAAAAAGAACATTAGAGGAATTATCCTACAAAATAAAACTGAAAAAACTGAGAAGGAGTTCAGATATGAAAGCTAGATATGTGAGAATAACCTTCATAGTAAGATTAACTATAGATTCTACCAGTGATAGATCCAGAAGAACCAATGGCATGCCGTCATTAGAAGCGGTGGAAGCACCGCTTTCCTTGTATTTTATAAAAAAATAAATACATATTAATTTTAATTATATGAAAATAATCGCACAATATTTTATTATAACCGCATTATGTATCTTATTACAAATTCCTATACTACACGTGAAAAAAAAAAAAGATCGCTATTGTATATTCAAATATTAGTGGCAGAGTGGAATCTCTGTATTTTCAGATTCCAAAAAGCCAGATTCGTGCACGCGCTTTACAGAGCACCAACCTCACCCGGTTTAACCATTGGAAGCCTACAACCTTCAGTTGATGCTACACATTCCAACACTTCCAATTCTATCCGGGACTGGCTCCGGGCTGTTAGCCACCCACCCACTAGATGTCTGGCTGATTACGTGAATAACGAGTAGATTTATAACTTAACCCAACTGATAAGAATTTACTGGTATGTTTTTACGATAGTTCTGTATAGTTGATGAGAGTTAAAAAATCCATTAAAATATTTGATATATTTATTCCGCTCTCCAATTTTATATTACTCATGGATTTCAGTGTCAAACCAGTGATATTATGATTTCGTATGTCCCATCTTTAAGGGGATGTAGAAAAAAATGTGTACAATTCTCGTATTATGTTAAAAAATTAACCGTTACTTTGGTAGCATCATTTACAACTAAATTTAATGAATGAGAGAGATGCACCAGGTACAGAAAAGGCTCTAGAATTTATTTTCCTTAAATTTACGATTTATGTATCTGTTT